AGACAACTCATTTTTAAAAGGGCAAAAAATGAACAGACATTTCACCAATGAAAATAAATATATGGATAGCAAATAAGCTCATGAAATGATGCTCAATATCGTTACTCATCAGGCAGATGCAAATTAAAGCCAGAATGATATACCACTTCACACCGTTATAATAGCTCAAAATTTTTAACAAAATATTGACCATACCTACCAAGTATTGATGAGGATATAGAGCCACTGGAACTCTTATACATTGCTGGTGGAAATGTAAAATGGTACAATTGTTTTGGAAAGCAGTTTGGCAGTGGGTTAAAAAGTGAAGAGTACACCTACCTTACGTCCAGATAGTAGGCAATCACCAACTACATTATATCTAAATTCCCAATTTTGTGGGGTGTGTTGTGACGTTTCTTGTTATTGCTTCATATTCAGGCAACAACAAAAGCGTGATTATTCATTTTAAATAATGGCTATTAGCAACCTACATTTAAATAATGGCTTAAAAGTACATATGATTTACAAAGCCCATATATTTTGCTTGATCTTCCCATCAACTGTGAGATACGTAGGGGAGAGTGGACTTACTATCCTCATTTCATAGAGGGGCAAATGGAAGCTCAGCAAAGTTAGGCAGCTTACCCAAAGTCATGCAACCAAACTATGACTAAACACCCAGAAATTATGGTACCTAGTACTATTTTTGTGTACAACTGATGTGCAAAAAGAGGTGGCATAAAAATTGACCTTTTAAAATCTAATAGTTATATTTTATGAAGTTTACATAGTTTTATATAAACTTTATAATTTCCCTCTACTTATAGCCAGCAATACTATTTTCAATAAATTATGACTGATGTTTGCTTTTAAAATTACAATTAAATTTAAGAAAAAAGAGTACATTGAAGAAAAATGAAATAAATTATAGTACAGGGAGCACACAAATGAAGCAAAATTCATTAAGGTAGCTTTTGAAAAATGAATTTGGAAACTCTACACACTGTGAAAACATAATAATATAAATCCTACTTCTGAGAAGGAAAATAGGAAATTGGAACTGAGTTTCCCTTTGAGAAAAACCTCAGCTTTAATGAAAAGGAGCCTATGAAACAATCACTTGGACTTTTCCTTTACTGCAAGACAGAGGAACGATTCTCTCTGTCTCAGGACACATACTAAACCCTGTAGATTCACAGCTCCGCAGGTGGAATAGTTGCGCTAAGGTCAAAGGTACTGATTCCCACTGTTCTACTGTTTGTCACGATGTTTCATCATCCCTGTGACCTCACTGATGAGGTCCAGGAGCTCAGAGCTATGACCAGAGTTTGTCATTACCTCTTTTAGAATTTATATGCTAGCCCTGTTTGGGCAGACCTAAGATTGTGAAACGCATTGTAGGCAATTGTATTAAGTCATAAAATAGGGCTAGTGAAGGAGTTAGTGAAAGATTTCAGTTATAACTATAATCTTGAAGCACATGATAAACCTCAAATGTGGGTCTGTTTTGTCTTTTTGATGGAATGCTCAAGACAGTGCCACAAAAGGTAATTGCTTACTGCTCTTGAAAATCACCGAACACTTCAAAAAAGTAATGTGTTGTGTTTTTGGGTTTTTTTTCTTTAAAAAGTAGTCCAACAGCAAGATTTTTAAAAATGCTCTAAGCTTTTCTGGTAACAGTAAAATGCTCCAACAGTTATTTAGGATAATCTCCCTGTTACTCCCTCCAACCACTACCAAGTTATTCCAAAGCAGCCGTTCTTGCAGTGTGTTCCCAGGACAGGCAGCATCAGCGTCCACTGGGAACTTGTTAGAAGTGAAATTCTTGAGCCCCACCCCAGACCTACCTCATTAGAAACTCTGAGGATGGAGCCTAGCAGATTGTTTTAACAAGTCTTCCAGGGGGATTCTAAGTATGCTGAAATTTGAGGGCCACTGCTCTAATAAAACAATGGCTATCAGAGCGAGGTCTGATATGTGCATTCCAGGTAATCAAAGAACTAACGCTCTGTCACACTAGAACACTGATGTTAAAAGTTCTAAATAAAGGGATTTCCAAAGGAAGTTCCCCAGCCAGGTACCCATCAACATCACAAATTCTCTTAACTTCCCAAGGTCATCGCCTGAGATAAGAGGGGACAATTTCCCTGCTAAGACTGGGAGTTCACCTTTCCTCCATCTCACTCTTCCTGTAGTGACCCGTGTTCCACAGAGCCCACCACCTTGTTCTAGCTCCCTTCTCTGGGTTTAAGCGGCCTGGTGGTGAGGCACTGTGCAGGTGCCAGGTCTCACCCAATTAGTTTGATGCTGGCTCCAAAGCATTAGACCAGCTCTTTCTGATTCTGTTTCCAGAGGACAAGCTCCTTCTCTTGTCTCCAACTTCCATTCCTTCATTCACCCACCGAGAAAATATTTACTGAGCACACAGTACTTGACAAGTACACTTCAATGTTGTTTCATTATAACTGATGAGATGCCATAGGAACCTAACTCTTGTTTATATCAATTAGCCTATGGTAAGCCTGGATTCATTGTATATCATTTCACTTCAAGTCGCAGAACCTATTGACCTCAAGTCCCTGACAACTCACTTTTCGGTTTTCCAAGTCTCACTTGCCTCATCTGTAGAAAGGATACAATAATACCCATCACACACAGTTTTTGCAAAGACTAAATGAGACAGAGTACACGAAAGAGCCCCTGGCAGATTTAGAGTAGGTTGAAATTCCCTTTCCTTTCCCTAGAAAAGCAGCGTCCTTTTCTGCTCTGGTCTAAAGCTTATCCTTTAAATTTATATCAAATCTGTTCTCGTCATAACTACCTGGACTTACTTCCTTTGCATCTTTTGGATTTACCTGGGCTGTTCATTAAAAATGTGGATGCTGGGGCCTCATCCCAGATTTACGGGTGGGGGAGAGAGAGCAGGAAATATGCCTCTTTAACAAATTTACCAGGTGATTCCTTGCACACTGAAGACTGGGAACAACTGGTTTAGCTGCTCTGAACTACTGCCCCAAGCTATTTATTGCCTTTCTCAAAAGAAGTAACAAAAAAAGCTTACTCATTTGGCCTGCTTTCCTCATTTCACTCTCTCCAAGCTACAGTAAGTCCTCACTTAACATTGTCAATAGGTTCTGCGACTTTGCCCTGGCCAGTTTGGCTCAGTGGTTAGAGCATCGGCCCATGGACTAAAGGGTCCCGGGTTCGATTCCAGTCAGGGGCACGTACCTCGGTTGCAGGCTCATCCCCGGCCCCCCAGTTGGGGTGCATGCATGTGGGAGGTACCAATCAATGTGTCTCTCTCACATCGTTGTCTCTCCCTTCCTCTCTCCCTCTCTCTCTCTTCCACTCTGAAAAGCAATGGAAAAAAAAATATCCTTGGGTAAGTATTAAAAAAAAAAAAGGTTCTGTGACTTTAAGTGAAACGATGTACAATGAAACCAATTTTACCATAGGCTAACTGATATAAACAAGAGTTAGGTTCTTATGGCATCTCATCAATATTGTAAGGAAACAACATTGGGCAAAATGACATTATTCGAGGACCTACTGTACTCTGAAAGAGGAGGCAGGGTGTCACGGTTGAGAGATCAAGCTTGAACACAAAGAGGTTTGAGATCAAATCCCAGCTTCACTACTTACCAAAGTGTGGTCCCTCAGGAGCAGAATCACCTGGGAACTTGTTAGACAGGCAAGTTCTTAGGCCACACCCCAGTTGCACTGAATCAGAAACATTGGGGGTGAAGCCCAGACATCTGTGCTTTAATAAGCCCTCCAGTGATTCTGATGCACGCTCAAGTGTGAGAACCACTGCTGCTTACTACCTGAATAACCCTGGGCAGGTGCACAGCTTCTCTAAAACCTTCATTTCCTCATCTGTGCAATCCTAAAAGTACTAACCACACAGAGTTGTGACAGTGAAATAACACAATACATATAAAGAACTTAATAACAGCAAACATTTAATAAATATCCACTGTTATTATTAAGAAAGTGTCCTTTATCCCATGGATTCTATTAAACTTGGGATGTTTGTTTTTGAGGTATTACATGTTTTAAAAATTCTTGCAGTACATCAGTGTGCATGGCACACTGGTTGAAAATCGCTGCCCCAAGCACATGCATGCATGCTACTGGTGAGTTTTATTTCTGGTTGTCTTGTCTCTTTATAATGAAGTTCTTGGGAGACAGAGATCGCACCTTAGAGTTTTTTTTTAAAAATCTCTTCCCTATCCAGCTCTGGTATACACTAAAGGAGTGAATGGGCCCAGCTTGTGTGGCTCTGTGGTTGAGCATCGACCCATGAACCAGGAGGTCGCGGCTCCATTCCCGGTCAGGGCACATGCCGGGGTTGCAGGCTCCATCCCCAGCAGGGGGCGTGCAGGAGGCAGCCGATCAATGACTCTCTGGTCATTGATGTTTCTCTCTCCCTCTCTCTCCCCCTCTCCCTTCCTCGCTCTGAAATCAATAAAAACATATTTTTTAAAAAGGAGTGAATGAATGAACAAACTCCTAGAGCAGAGCCAAGGCTCTTTAAGGCACACTTGGAGAAACTTTCTAAAAACACAGACTTTTAAGAATGGTAATAATTATAGTAGCTTAGGTTTATATAAGCCTTCACAGTTAAAAAAAAAAAAAAAAA